GAGGATCTTTTGATTAAAGGTACTGCTGGTGTGGAATGAGCCAAGATCCAAGACGTCATTGGTTCAAGTCTCATCTCAGCCACAAACTCACGACATGGCCTTAGACAAAAAGCATTCACTGTCAGGGTCACACATCTATCTTACAGGGATGTCGTAAAAGTTACTGCAATAGTCTGTGAAGTTTTATAAACAGTGTTATACAGATACAAAGTATTATTATAATAATTTTAATGAATGGCTTCCTCCATTCTCTTTTAGGTGACTCTTGAGAAGTCTGTCCCAACCAATGTTCCCTCTACGCTGTGGAGTCTTGTGAGCAAAAAGTCTACTTTGTGAGCTACCAGCATTGAAGTTGTGAGCTAGTGATTTGGCTGCTGCATAAATTAGCTTGCTTTCGAGCCCTCCCTCCTGAGCGAAGACAAAAATGGGTGAACCGGAGGCTAAAAAACTGTGAGCTAGCTCACACTAACTCAGCTTAGAGGGAACACTGGTCCCAACCACTGAAGAATAGCCCTTGTTTTGTTTTGTTTTTGAGGCACAAAACTGCATATCCCAATAATATACGATGTAATAGTGCCCAAAACAAGGGAAGGCCTTTCTGCCAGAAACAAGAAGGGTTTGCTACAAGCTGTCAGCAAACCAACAAGCCCCGACAGCACTAGAATGTCTCCCAAGTGGCCACTATATCCTCAGCCAGTGTAATGATCTGTAGACTCCCAAACCAACATTTTCTTGCCATCACCAAGTTCCATGTTGTAGCAATACAAGTCAGCATCCCCTCAACAGATAATGCTGCAGAGCCATGCATGGATTCAGCTGTGTTTCCCAAGCAAAGCCATTCCCCAGAGAGGTTTCCAGGAGGATCCGTACTTCCCCTTGGCCATTTTTATAGTTTTCAGAGCCCCACGAGACCTCAACAGCTTTTTAGAAACTTAAATCCAGTTACATTTTAGTAGCCTTTACTTACTACCGTTAAGCCCTTATGAGAAATCCATTTTACATTTCCAGCTGAAAATTGGGTTTTATTTGCTGCTGGAAAGAAAAAAAATATCCATTTTCAACATTTAACAGTAAAAAGCAACATTCTGTCCTTAACTGCTTCCCTGAACATGAGCAGGAACGCTTGAAGCATCATGTTCTTTGATTTAAGAATATGTGGGCAAACTATAACTGCAACTGCAACTACAATTAGAGCCTTTTATAACACTAAGCCTTTGAAAATGTTTAATTTCTCCAGATTTATTGCTTGCAACTGTTTTTGTCAAGCTGGAAGACTAAACTCTCCACAATCCAATGTTCAGAGTAGATGACAATCAACTGACAAACACACCTGGCTAATCAATATTTTGAGAGGATAATGGTCAAACTACCCATTATGGTGGTCATGGGTTTAACCTGTGCCCATCAAAGCTATTTTAGAGAAGAATATGGGCATTTTAAAATGCCATGAGATATCAGGTCCACAGTGAGACTAGGCTGTTTTGGCACTTGAAAAAAAGGTGTGTACGGAGGTGACAAATTCACCTGGTCCCACTACACCATGGCCCACCATGAGCCAGTGTGGTGTAGTGGTTAAGTGTGTGGACTCTTATCTGGGAGAACCGGGCTTGATTCCCCACTCCTCCACTTGCATCTGCTGGATGACCTTGGGCAAGCCATAGTTCTGGCACAGCTGTTCTTGAAAAAGATCAGTTTCTGTCAGAGCTCTCTCAGCCCCACCTACCTCACAGGGTGTCTGTTGTGGGGAGGGGAGGGGAAGGGAAAGGAGTTTGTAAGCCGCTCTGAGACTTTTTCAGGTAGTGAAGGGAGGGGTATAAATCCAATCTCCTCTTCTTCTTCTTCTATTGTAGCTTTTTTAAATGGTCCAATTTTTTTCTAAAATGGCTTTGGAGGCCACTGTAATGTCTAGTTTGGCTCTATGACTTCCCACTTTACTAAACTAACCACTTTTAAACTGAAGAAAGCCTGTGTGTTCAATGTACCATATAGAAATCTGAGCCCCCAGGAAGTACGTAGGCATAGCCATTTACGAAAGATTGGAAGACTGCTGCCTAAATTGATTGCGTATTTTATCTCTTCCCTTTGCAATGTAAAAAAAAATCTTAACGCCTCTCACAAATGTTTACAATTGTTCCTGAGATAGACAAAGCAGTTCTACACTTACCCCATGGTGGACTCGCCCCCCCTCCCTTCCCCAATAGAGTTCTGTTATCATGCTATGTGACATCAGCGTTTCACTCCCAGAAACAGTTGAAGTAAGACTTAAAGGTGCAATCTGACTAACTGGTGATGGGCAGAGAACAATCTAGTATAGTCCCAAAGTTGAAGTTAGGCTAGAACTGAATTCAGACGCCATGGGCTTTCTGAACAGCCTTGATCAGTTAAACACACAGTCCCAAAAATGAGAAACTATCGCAAGTATTTTAAGAATTTAAAAAATCTAGGTTGCTGTTCAAACATCAGCAAGGCTAGAACACATTGCACACCAAAAGGACTACATCATGATTTTCAAGTCTCTGCTCATAGGCATACCATTAATAGAACTGAGATATCTGGTCTATTATGAAGACCAGGAACAAAAACATTAAACAAAATCAAACGTTGAAGCAGCTGGGATTTTTCCACAGTTGCTGTGCACACTGACTGCAATGCAACAAGACACCCTGCAAGGGCAAATGGGCATGTGTTGGCTACAGAAGGGGACAGAGCTTTAAGCATTCACAGAGCCCCTTCTGTCACCAGGAAGTAATGGATACACCATGAGCATGTAGGATGTGAATCATGGAGTTACTGTATTAACATCTCCAGTATAGCATGCAGTAGTGCTCCAATTCTAACAATTCCATGTGACATTTGTACAGAAGGGAACTGGCTTGGTATTTCTATTCAGATATATATTTTTGGCAAAAAAAAAGGCTGAATAGTCCTACAGAATCAAATGCAGCTTCATAACCACCACCCACCGTTCCCCTCTGCAGCATTATTTCATGCATCATCAATGACTGCCATGCCTATAGCTTCATGCCAGCACATTGACAGATACTAAAATGCAGTGATCACGGGACCAGAATAACAGAAATAAGAAATGGGGAGGACAGCAGGAGGAAGGAGAAGGAGAGAGGAAACCCTAGAAAAGAAATTAAAAATGCAGACCGTGCAAATACAAACCAGGTCATGGCTGCTTAGCTAATATGGGCCAACTGCTGTGGAAGAAAAAACGTCGAACACCCCAAGTTGTGTAAATTTCTGTGAACATCTCAACGTGCACACAAATACATACACAAAACACCAACCTGTGTAGAAACACAGGAAAGTGCATATATATGTACACACACACAAACTGTCCTAATGCTACAGGTTTAAAAAGCATTCATAAGCACAGTGGGATTCAAAACAGTTTATTTTCAGAAGTCTTCAGGTAAAGCATTAACAGGGCTGGATTAATGGCACAGCCAAGATCTCTCCAGAGCAGAACCAGAACTGTGTGGGTTGATGACTCAAGAGTGACCTTGGTCGGAGAACAAACTAAATAAGGACACAGCAGGCCTTTCCCTAACATGGGATACAAGAGCAAGAGCTGAGTCTTGGGTGGCAAAAGGATTAGAAAGCCAGCTCATGTCACTACTGGTGATGGGCCCCCAAAATGTCTAAGAGCTACATCCTTTTGCTTCAGATCTGCAAGGAGAAGCTTTTAGATAATCTAGTTTGCCACCATGGACAATGGGGAGGAAGCATATCACTTTCAGACATCCACAGTTCCCAGGGGGCTTAAGAATTCTAGAACCCAGATGTGTTGCTTTTCTATGTGGACTCCAAGTTACATAGGCATTCCAAGTTACATACAACACTGCTATCAAGCACAAAAGAAGGTGAGAAGACTGTGAGCAGACTCTGAAGAGTAGGATTAGGTCAGCAGTGCTCAAGTTACAGGAAGAGTCTTGCTTACTTTCTAACCCACTATACAACCCGCCTGCCCTCCTCCTATGCACCTGCTGCTCCGCGGTGGCCAGCAGTGCGGTGTCAGCTGCCATGCCTGTTTGCAGTACAGCTCATGCCACAACTACAGCTGCAAAATAGTAAGGGCAATAACAAAGGGGGGTGCGGTGGGGTGAAGAAGCATGATTCTGTCCCGAGGCTATTTTTATAAGAACAGAAGCATATGGGCCTCCGCAGTCCCTCGAGAAAGGAGTGTAGCACATGATTCAGAGGATGGAGCGGGACAGAGGGGTGGGTTCAGGGCCAGGGCACATCCATTAATTCAGCCCTGAAAATGCTGCCTGTTTTTCATTTCCACAGCCTTATTCGTTACACTTGGTGTGCATCCATCCCATTCCTTTTTAAACGGCCGCTCCAATGAGATTCTTGCCAAATTTCAAGGCTGAATCTCGAGGAGAAGCTTAGGCAGCAAAACAACAACTGCTGCATGCCTGCCATCCCCTCACCAATGTGGCAGGGAGCCCTAAGACTCTTAAAAGGAAAAGAGAGCCAAAAAGCATCGCTTTCCTTTCCTGCTTCCAGCCTCTGGTCAAGAGATTCAGGCAGAAGAGGTACCGACCAAAGTTTCTATATCTCGCCATCACCACCACAGATCTTACTATTCCAACCTACTTAGAGTGATTCCCCCCCCCCAACGCTGCGTTGCGTCTTTGTCCTGAATTTGCCTTCCCCACGGTAAGGAACATTTAAACTAAGAAGGATCAAATTCTATCTCCCTCTTTAGCTCCCACTAGGGCCGTGAGTACTCAATATTTAGCAATAATTGTCTGCTATATTAAGAGTTTAGATTTCTCTTTTTCAAAAATCACTTCTTGGATTATATAGATTAGTGACCTTTCTCACATCACCTTTAAACACAAGACATGCAAATATAACAGAAAACACTCCTCATCTGGTTTGTCTACAGTAAGGTCTAAACTTGGCATGCAAAGCTGCAGTCACTCAACTGAGAGCTACCTGGTGGGTAGGGGTGGGTGGGCTGAGAGCGACAAATGAATTCTTACCGATTCTATAGGCTTGTCTAAGGATGCCTGCTCAATCTCCAAGTGGCCTTCTTCATATTGATCAAAGTGATTACCCTGCAAAAAGAAAAAAAAAAACATTATTCCTTCATGGAGGCAACACCATTCCACAAAATGCATTGCCAAAAAGGATGCACAACAATTTAGGAACAGTGCCCTGTAGGTACATGGCAGGGAGGAGGAGTATCCTGTACACAAATCCTGAGCTGACGAAAAAGGGAGATAACAGAATCCTACTTGTGATGCTTTCTGATATTTGCTCCACACTATCAGTATTTAAAAATTTTCATTTCACCACAATGGGATCAGTTGCAGACAGTCAGGAAACCACAGGCACCACTCCCAGAATACGCCTTAATGACTGCGTAAAGGTAAAGGTTCCCTTGCTCAAAAGCCAGTCGAATCCGACTCTAGGGTTGCAGTGCTCATCTCCGTTTCAAAGCCGAAGAGCCAGCGCTGTCGGAAAATGTTTCCGTGGTAATGTGGCCGGCATGACTAAACAGCAAGGCGCACGGAACGCTGTTACCTTCCCACCGAAGTGGTACCTATTTATCTACTTGCAATTTATTTCTTTTGAACTGCTAGGTTGGCAGGAGCTGGAACTAGAGATGGGAGCTCACTCCACCATGTGGCACCTGGGTCTCGAACTGCTGAACTACTGACCTTCCACAGCCTGCAGTTCAGCGTCTTAACCACTTGAGCCACCGCAGCTCCATATGACTGGGTACTCATACATTTTCAGGATCCTTCCGGATTATCAGAAGTGATTCCATGATCCCCCAAACTTTTAACACCATGGCCCAAGGAATCTCCTTTCCACCCTTCTGTCCTGGTAGACATTTTGTAACATCCAGTCAAACACAGACTTCTAGTGAGCTTCAAAGCTTGCGCATTGTTTTGTGTCAATCTGGTTAGCACTAATAAAAGGTATTACGTTGATTTCATTTCTACTAGAGGATACCTTCCTTAGGACAAGCCTGTCCACAACCCCTGATCCAGCTTCCCTGACATTAACCCAAGGCACAGCACGTCACCTTTCACAATAAGAAACAGCCAAGTTTACTGGAGATTAAACAAACCTCACCCTGTGAGCTAGTCTATGAGCAAAAGACCGCTCACACTCATTGAGAAGTCTTCAGGGACATGTGTGGTGGTCTTCCACAACTTGAATGCTAGCACTGTAAGAAACAAAGCTTCCCATACCTCAGCACCTAAAAACGTAAGATCAGCCAAATGGTCCATCAACTCCAACATTCTGTCTCACACAGTGGCCAACCAGTTCTGCCTGAGAGTGTGGAGGTTCACGTCGGTCACCATGGCTATTAGCCATTGATAGACTAATCCTCTTTTAAAGCTGACTATTCCTGTAGCTGTCACTGCATCCTCTGGCAGCAGATTCCACATTTTAATCACTCTCTGTATAAAGAAGTATTTCCTTTTGCCCGTCCTGAATGTACTGCCCATCAGTTCATTAGATGCCCCCATTAGATCATGAGTTCGGCCCCCATTAGTTCATTAGATGCCCCCCGTGCATAATTTTATACAGGGCTTCTTTTGTAGAAAAAGCCCAGCAGGAACTCATTAGCATAATAGATCACACCCCTGACATCACAGCTCATTAGCATATGAGGCCACACCCCATGCCTTCCCTTGGCTTGCCTGGGCATCCTGCAGCTGTGGGGAGCCTGGACAAGCTGGCCCTTGGACAGGCCGGGGAAGGCATGGGGAGGCATTTAAATGCCTCCCTGATCCTTCCAGGGCCCCCCTGGCCCACCCGCCTCGGAGTCGCGGGGGGGGGGTCACTCTCCAGGCCTTCCCTCTGTAGCCAGGCTCGCAGAGGTTTTGGCTGTAGTGGGCATGGCCAACTCTGAAGTCAGCCGGAACTCCATTACTGTGTATTCCTGCCCAAAAATAGCCCTGATTTTATAAACCTCTGTCATGTCCCCCCTTAGTCATCTCTTTTCTAAACTGAGAAGTCCCAGACTCTTCAGACTTCCCTCATTAGGGAAGGTGCGCCAACCCCCTAATCATCTTTGTTGCCCTCCTCTGCACTTTTTATGTAAAAGATGTACATTCTGCCTTTCATCCATTTAGCTTACAGCAATCTTAAGTATTCTCTACATCTTGAAGACAGCAGTCACGAAGGATACCCCTCCCCAACCCCTGCTCCATGCAATATGTCAGTGGTGGCGAACCTATGGCACGGGTGCCAGAGGTGGCACTCAGAGCCCTCTCTGTGGGCACGCGTGCCATCCCCCAGCCAGGCCCAGACCATCATTAAAGTGTCAAATCCTCTGCCAAATAATTTTAAGTCAATGAAAGCATTTGGGATTGCTTTCCTTACTTTGTTTGGATCGTCTTAAGTTAACGTATGAGTGGGTTTTTCTAAAGTAAAACCTCAGTATTCAGGTTAAATGGCCGTGTTGGCACTTTGCGATAAATAAGTGGGTTTTGGGTCGCAGTTTGGGCACTCGGTCTCTAAAAGGTTCGCCATCACTGCAATATGTTATCAGACCTCTGTTCAACAGGTAGATGTTTAACTCTTTACTAGGATGGAGCTTCCTGTGCTGCTCTGAAACTAAAATAGCTGTAGCAATTACACCTAGCCATCCATCTAACAAAGCAGGCTCATGGTGGAAATAATTACAACTACGATGATCTAACCAGTTTAAGGTGATGATCTAACCAGTTTAAGGTGCATATTGCTTTTAATAGTTAAGATTATTACTGCATTTAGTTTTTTTCAAGAAAACTGCTTTTTTCAAGAAAACAAGATGACAATTCTACAGCTCCTGCAAGGGCTCAAGATGTCTCCACTAAAAGCCTGCAGTGGGTTTGCCATTACCTAGCAAGCTTATATTAGCACTAGGAATAAGGCCCGCTGTGGAAATAATTACAACAAGCTCTAGAAAGAGACTCTGGGCAGGTGTCCTGGCCTTGGGCACTCAGCAGCGATTTGTTGAAGTTAAAAAGTAATAATTTTCAAAAATTTATAAATTAGAACAGAACTATTTTCCATTCAGCTTCATGTTTCTTTCTATTCTAAATAATCATGTTTGTTTTAGGATAATTTGAAAAAGAAGTTAAGCAGCAATAATTTGAAGAAAGTAAAAAACAAGTTAATGCTGCTACTATTTGAAGGAAGCAAAAGAAGTAGCTAAACTGTATCAAGAGGCTGACTCCTTCTAACATAACAGGACTACTCCTGAGGAAGATTGTTGAAATGAGTATAAAACCGGGTGCTCAGAAGATGGTGGACTTTTTCTTGAATGTTAGAATTTCCTGAGCTATATTTCAAAAGTTTTTATTGATGTTCATAAGAATTAAATGTTACTGTCAATTTCATCACAGTGTTTCTTTGTTTTGATGTATTTCCTATACTGTGATCGCTTCTTTGGTTTTCTCACCTGGAGATAGGCAACAGTGGTTCCCCAGGAGGAAATGGCTGGTTTGGAGGGTGGAGTCTATGGCACTGTACCTGAGTTCCCACCCCTCCTCAAACTTCACCCTCTCTAGGCTCCACCCCTCAAATCTCCAGGAATTTCCCAACCTGGAGTTGGCAACCCTATCGCCAATCATCAACCTACCTTTATCTGCCCCTTTGACTTCAGCTTTCCATCTCCCCCCCACCTGCAGCCTCTACCCTGCCATGAAGCCCTGACTGCTACATCACACTGGCTGTCGTAGGGAGGCCATCTCAGCATGGTATAAGGACACAGAGCTGCCATTTGAAAATTGGTTGACCCATTTAAGATATTAGCATTATGCATAATACAAAATTCCATAAGTCACAGTCCAGCCTTATTTGTTAACATATCCTTAGAAATGTGTGTGTCAGCAAGAGATGGAGGTAAAGATTCAATCCCTTCAAAACTCAGAAGGGAAATAAGATTTTGATTGCTTGGTCTGATTCGTACATTCATGTCACCCATTATAAGAAATTGAATAGATGAAAAACGCTTAATTATGGAGATTGTAAAATTAGACAATTTATCCCAATTACTTGGTAAGGTCAGTTCATCCTCAGATGGAGGGAGATACACATTAGTCAGAATCCACATAAGGTTAGCTGCGTGGACTAACAGGGCCTGGGCTAAAGGTGGTTTGGAGGGTTATTTTAGAAAATATATTAGCTCTGATCGAGGTTGTTAATCCAGCTTTATATCTGTCCCTGGAGGAAACCCTATAAGCAACAAGGTTAAAAGAGAAAAACCCTGAGATATTGACTTCCATTTCAGACCAGGTTTCTTGTAACAGGATACAGTCAAAGCGGGAAAGATAATCAATAAAATCAGGATCATTAGCCTTGTTTTTCCATCCAGCAACATTCCAAGATATAAAATGGAAGTCTTCATATAAATCCCTTACTGATAGTCAGTCTAATTCAACTATTTGATTCAGTAATTTTTATGAGTCTTGGAAGGTGCAACCATTAACAGAGAAGAGAATGGTTTGATGGCCAGTGGCCCACCTCAGTAGCCAGCCAACCACAGAGGAGCCAAGCAGGAGAAGCATCTTCATCAAGAGAGACAGCTGTTTTGGTAGTTTATTCTGACAAAGAACAGTGGCCAAGCTGGCAGAGGGTAGACAAGAGTAGCGGACCCAGCCCCCAGCCAATGGCACGCAAGTACTCTTGAGTAGCGATTGATGAGCCAGTGGCTGACTGAGCGCACAGCACAGCCAGCAGGAGAGCTGGAAAGTGTCAATACATTAGGGCTTTTACATATATCAGATTATTAGACTTATTAATAGGGAAACTAGCCTGAAGCTCAAATATTTTTACTGTTTCGATCTAAACTGCTGGAGAGAGAATTCAGAAAGGAATACTTCACATAACAAGCAAGCAACATGACTGACTGCGCATCCTAAACTCCAGTTCTGGAAGTTACATATGCATATTTCTAATGCCACTTTACTTGCTCTGGCAAACCTCCTCCAGAATAATCCCCATTCCTCCTTGCCCTTTAAGCCTGGAAGACAAAGGCAGCCACCATCACACAGCCCTACTTAACACAAAACTGCTTTCTCCCCTATTCAGAT